TAAAAAAAGGCTTTATTATGTTAATTATACAAACATTAAAGACTTCGTCAATGCTATATGTCATCTTACACCCGTTACATACAAAATGGATGCAAACGGCCACAATTTTTTTACATTTATAATACGGATACAGCGATCTACTTTTCAATTAATCTTTTGTGATAGAACAGACTTGCAGCACATCAGGGACTGCCTAAGCAATCCCTGATGTGCTTGAAAAGTATTTCAGAACCCCGAAGCAGCCCCGCTGCGTGGGTGAATGAGATATATCAAATTCAAATTCAAAAATCATTTGTTCACGTAGGTAACACAATGTACACTTGTGATTCGTCATTAAAGAAATAAATATTAATGCTTCTAATTTTACATTTACTGCCAGTTCTCAAATCAAGGGCGTAGAACGGAAGAGAAGAACTGGCAATAAACTCTCCGCCACTCTTTTTAATCGCCATGTTTTTTTTTTTTTTTTTTTTTAAACGTTTGTAAGGAGCTGCAACCATTACACCATGTTCCACATGGCATTTTAAGTAATTAATAATAATAACATAAATAAAAACAAAGACTTGTCCCCTATCAGCAGGAGGCATGGTGAAATAGGAGCACGCACTTACATTCTCGTGGGAACAACACGCAAACACATAGTCGAAATAATTAACATCACCGCATACAGTCAATGTCGCAAGCAGTCACCAATTCCGCTTATGATTTCGCTACTTTTCCGTTTCCTCAGATCTGCAGCAGAACTGAATATATTTGTGACTAGTTTGGGCAGACTGAGAGATGAATGTATTTTTTTTTATATATAGAATTTATTAGTAGTTTAAGTATATAAGTTAGTATGTATATTAAAATTCTTGTTTGGCATTTTTTTAATAATAAAAACTTATTTTTTTCCTGTGTTTGTGTTTAATCACTAACTCACGGAGATTGTAATGCACTGAAATCCAAATTTGCATATCTAGTGCAAATGTAAATGTGATATGATAAGTGAAATGGACGCAGAAATGTTTTTGCTCTACGCTCCGTCGGGATTCAAGGGGATTATTAAGTGAGAGTTAATTTATTTCACTTATGATAAACCATTTCTTTTAAAGAAAAACGCTTTTTACCGGATTAAAGTTATGTTTATTATTATAAATTTACAACTATTTGACATAATTTTAAATTTATCCGACGTTTCGCGTGCTTTACAGCGTGCGTGGTCACGGTGACAAACCATTTCTTTATATAATAACTGTAGAGGCCACCCGTTATTATAATGTGTTGAAGAGTTCGACCCTTATAAAACAAAAATAGTTTTTTACGAATTTACTTGAGTTATGTAACCTAACATTAGTTAAATTACATATATATACTTTAGTTATTAATAGAAGCGTAAACAAAATGTAAACAATGCAATCATCGCACACTTGAAACCAATATGAGCCCTTTAGTTTTTACCACACTTATAAATTGTAATTTAACATTCTCGTTTCCGATAATGTCCAATAACATAAGTGTCACTAGATTTACGAACCCCTAATGTTATCTTAGTTATAAGCTCATTTTTTAAACAATAAAGTCAGTTGTTAACCAGCTTCAAACAAAGTTTTATTTGTACATATCCATACAAAAAACCGAGCCAAACTTAAATCTTGTCAATAGAAAAATATTTTAAACAGACTTTTGTTTTTGTCTCCCCATTGGAGATTCCATATTATTTATTTTGTTAATTAGATTTAGAATTATTGTTTAAACCGAGGAGGAAGGCAAGAGCTGCTCTTCCTTCGACCTTAAGGAAGGATCCTCAACCAGTCTTACCACTTTCTTGCCCGAAGGCCCCAATGACTAAGGTCGAGAGGTTGTATGTATAGTTAGCGGTCTGAAAAACTTTGTTAGCGGGTTTCGAAGTATGACGTCAGTGATTCTACCCTTCGATTGTCTTGCTACAAATAATTCAATTGGATAATTTATATTTCATGAGCAGTGTTGGCCTAGTGGCTTCAGCGTGCGACTCACATACCTGAGGTCGTAGGTTCGATCCCCGGCTGTGCACCAATGGACTTTCTTTCTGTATGCGCATTTAACATTTGCTCGAACGGTGAAGGAAAACATCGTGAGGAAACCGATATGTCTTAGAACCAAAAAGTCGACGGCCTGTGTCAGGCACTGGAGGCTGATCTCCTACTTACCTATTAGATTTAAAAATGATCATGAAACAGATCCAGAAATCTGAGGCCAAGACCTAAAGAGGTTGTAGCGCCACTGATTTATTTTAATTTATATTCTATATTCAGTTGAAGACTCCAAAGCTATTGCAAAAAATATTGATAACTATAGTTATCAATATTTTTTGCTCCTATCGGATCCTATAGGATCTTTTAGAATGCCTCTAAGTTTGCAACATCCAGACATTCAAAACAATGAGATGTATATTAAACTTAAGATGTATACAAAAGTTTAATATAATTTTGTCTCCAAAATTATATTCCTTTTTCATAAAATTTTCCCTTTATAAGGTTCAGTTAAGAACACCTGCGTAAACCATCTATCACAAGGATTGAACTCGCCTTAAGTTAATAAAACGTTTTTATATAAAGATTGATAGTCATAGGCGCGATATACAGTTGATGCTATCAATCTATTATTTCACAGATATTGGTTTTTCATTGGACATTTTTGATGTTTCCAAACAGTCTACTAACTAACAATTGAATATCGCAACAAAAAATATGATTGCAACAGTTGTTTTAAATCTTTTCATTCTATAACATCGATAACCTAATCTATTACAACTATCAATTGATTATTAAACTGTCATTTAAAGCCTTTTTTATTTCGATTTCAAATTTTAGTAGTGTTGTTGGTACTTATAGTTAAATGTTAGTAGTAATATGTAGATCGCCTTTGGATATGGACTTTTAGGTTTGAGAAATTAATAATAAATCAGACCATTCATAGAAACAAAACGTTGAAATCATTCAACATAATATATCTGTCTATTTTTACCACTGTGTTAACACAATTTAATTGAAAGAGCCAATGAGTACTTCAGCTTAAACACTAAGTTTTATATTTTGTTTTTTTTTTGTTAAAATGTAATAAAATACCTTGGCTAATATTAATTTCACAACGTGTAGGTCGTAAAATAATGACATGGGTGCTTGTAGTACAAATGTAAGCTGGGCAAAAACAAATCGATACCACAGCTGATAATCGTAACAAAAACACAGTCACAAAGTTTTAATATGTAACGGAGGCGCATCGTAATGCAAACAAGTAAATTGTTTTGAACTTTTTTTAATATTTAAGCTACATTATAAATGGCGATCAAGTTGATTAAAATAATTAAGATTAACATTTTAAATATTATTTTTACATTTTAATAAATTTTTAGAGGTATACTTCTTTACTTTCATTTCAATTATTACATCCACTCTGGTGTTTTGCTTACAACGGTTCTATTAAACTATCGAAAGGAAAATGTTACTAAAGGGGATGATTAATAATGTAAAACTGGCTAAACACCGATCATTAATAAAACCCCCGGGCGCCGATATAAATTAAATTAATATTCTGAATGCGAACCTCCGTAATGGAATCTGGGCTCTACTAACTGACCTATTTAGCTAAGGTGTTATCAATTTATCTGAATAAAATGCTTTTCAGCTTACGTGTGCCGTTGAGAACTACTGATCAATGAATGAGTCTAATCGTTCATTAAAATATATTAATAATAAAAATCTGATTTTGCCACCAATCAATCCATCATTTCTGATTTCCTGATCCGGGAATTTGAGCAGCGTCTATGTAAGAGTTTGAGATGGTTATAGTTTCATAAAACTAGACTAAGAATGTCTTAAATGGTGACTGCATAAACTGCAGTCAGAATGATAGAGGCGTTATCGATTGGATAACTCTAAGAGTGAGCAGAGAGTGAGGATTGCAGGTCACCAATGAGTTAGGTTGGTCAATCAAAACTGAATATTCTATAAACGCAAGACAACGAGGTCTTAATAAGAAAGTCTCTTCAATCACGCGTCACCTTTCAAGAAGAGGAATCGTTTTACTCAATAATTCGGCTCTATTACGCAATTACACAGCCATTTCATAATTACGACTCCCTAATCCAATCTTCTACTAATTTTCACAGCCAATGTTTGATATTTTATCAGTAAAGTCCCTTTATTGGTCACAGTGTCACAACTTTCAAAGCAATTTTAAACATAATCGATTTGTTCCGAAAGAGTTTCCGAAACTTATCCAGAAATACACAATTGTGTGGTGGTTTACAGAATTTATTTTACCTAGTCACTGATGAAATACTAATTCTGATCAATGTTTATTTTTAAATAACCTACCATCACAGATTATTCTAATGCGGCCACTATTCACATTTATATCACATACAAACAATTACACACACATGAACAGTTATAGATTAAAATATTTACAAAAAGACTAACTATCTTTTACTGTATAGGACCAAACCTTTTGTCAGTTTATGCAGTTAATTAATTTTTTCTAGACTTTGTGTCATGTGTGCCCTTTTCGAGAGGTTAGTTTTTGCTGAGAGTACGATTAGTAACGGTGGTCGATGTCGCCCCCTAACCAACAGCCGTCCTGAGACCTGGAACACTGCTGGATTGTTTTCATTTCCACTTGTAATTGAATCCATTGAATAAAATATACTGATATACACGCGTTAGAAGTTATAATTGGCGTAACTAAATAAAAATCTTTTCAAAAATTTTATCTTTCGCCTTTTTCTACGTTTGTAGAAAAAACGACACTAACTATAAAAAAAATTACTCTCATAATTTTTCCCTAACGCGCCAAAAGAATTATAATATTAAAAAATCTAAAATGTTAACTATAGCTAAATTCAGGGTGTCGGTTTTTTGTGACGGTGTGCGCGCGCATCGTAAAAATTTACACTCGTTTTTCCCCTAATACGCCAAAAGAAGTATAACTTCAAAAATGCGGAAATGACGGATATTACACTCCGTAGTAAATATATGCTAGACGTTTAAATCCAATGATATACTTGATGTTCTAGATCTAACACTGTTAAATCTACACAGTTTCGATACTGTTAGCTCTTGTAATATAAAATGAACTGGGCTACGAAAATATTTAGCCTCTACAATATTTAAACGTATTTCTACAACTACCTAAACAAATTTTCGGGTTATGTAATTATTTGTACAAAGTTTGGACGAAAGTTGCGTTATTTTTCTTTTTATAAGGGATATTAAGGTTATTATTATTATATTAAGGGTATTAAGTAGTGGGTGAGGTATACTAAAAGATCACCCCCTCAACGACCACGGGGAAACCATACTGAAGGTCACTGACTGCTCTTCATCTAGATACACAAGGAGCTCGTTGTTATCTACGCCAAAATAATGGACTTCATTATTATGGCTTAGATAATCATTATATTGCATATGCATTGTATTCATTACCTATATATAGGGTTACTTGTGATATAAGGTTATAAGGTTTTTACTATGTTATGCTTGGAGTGCCTCACAGGTCTAATAATTTTTGAATCGTTTGGTAACAATATGGAGGTGTAGTCAACACATATATATGTAGAAAATAAAGAAATTTTTAAAAACTGTTGTACTCAGCAGCAAGTACAACCTATACATACGTAGAATGTGAGTATGAAAACATACGATCTTAATGTACCAACAAAAAAGAAAGTATCTTAGCAATAAAAACGTTTTTATTCATTTGTTTCAACCCTACTTATTTGCATGCATCTTTCATCACGAAATGCAATAAAATTTTACGTCGTTACTGAGCAATATATAGTTCTATCTAAGTATTTCATCCCGTTGGAGGTTATCAATTTTATATAACGACGACGACAACGTTCAGGTAAAATAATATATTTAGGTAAGATTAGTTTTAGAACCTGTATTTAAAGAAAAATACCCCGCAAATAAATGATAAACACTTCAGTAATAAATACTTCTGTGTTTTTGTGCTATGCCTGCTAAGCCGATTGTATTGTTATCATAAAATTAAACAGTTTTAACCAATTAAAAAACTGCTACTGCGTAAATAACCACATAAATTGTTGTAAAACAAACGTCTGTATAAAGCAATAAACTCAACAATTAACTAATGACTTTTCGCCTAAGAACGGCTCACACTGTACTAAGTTACTAGGGCTGGACTTAGGGGAGGAGAACCGGAGCTACAGGCCCGGAGCCTCCGCAAAGACACTTCGAAAATTATTTAATCGACTAGTAAACCTATTGCAAACCTTCCTTTGATTTTGTTTTGCTGTTGTCTTTACCTACAGAACTTTGTACAAACATTATATTGTTCTGAGAAATACTGTTAATTTTATTTGGAAAATATTTTGGGCCTCCTTTCTTATCCCAAAGTCTCCTGACCACTAAATCCAAACCTACATATGTAACAGCGTCAATCAGTATTTTTTAAAACTGGGTGGTATTATAATTGTGGATTTGATACAAATAAATTATAATCCCCTTACTTAAGACAACAGTGAAGATAAGCTAAAAGTGTTTATTTTTCTTTATTCAATATAGTTGTATTGTCAAATTTACCTGACTGTATTGATAAAACGGTGTTATTCAAATGTTACATCTTCCGTATTAAAGTCTGATAAAACTGGGATTGCCTTACGATTCAAAGAAAAACAAATCAAAGAACATCGCTTTCAATCAGGTTCAGCTCGCCTCGATAGACGCGCACAGTCTTTTGTACTGACAGTAGGTCAACATTCATGAAACATAAGTAATTTTTAACCTTTAAACATTGAGTTTTTATTTTTTTTTGTTGCAATACATTTGAGCAGTGTTGGCCTAGTGGTTTTGCGTGCGACTCTCGTATCTGGGGTTTGATCGCCGGCTGTGCTCCAATGGAGTTTCTGTCTGTGCGTTTTAACACTCGTTCGTACGGTAAAGGAAAACGTAAGGAAAGCGGCATGCCTTAGACCCAAAAAGTTGACGGTGTGTATCAGGCACAGAAGGCTGTTGGTGATCAAGGAGGTGTACTGGCCTTTAAGAAATTATGACGGAACAGATACCGAAGGGCTCAGACCTAAAAGGAATAACTGCTATATAAATATACATTTAACTACGACTACAATAGTACAAAGTGAGTAAGTAGTGTAGTAGTAAGTGTGGAGGCTAAGGTCCAGAAGGACAAAGGCTGTATGCCATTGATGATGATGATGAAAATAATACAAAACAAACTCATTAAGAAATGATTCATGTAAGAAAGGGACCTGACAGACATGAAGGCACCTGTCAGGCACAGAAAGAGAAATAATATTCTTTGACAGGTGTAGAAATATCAGGACCCGGAATGTGGCGCCACTAGATGATGACAATTGATTAGAAATGTACGTAACTATCTAAATTAGTTTAGTTAATTAAGTAAATAATGAGACTAGTAAGGGTTTATAAACGAAAGCAGACGCAAAAATGTGTCTGTCTCATGCCACATTAGGAGGTTATAGGGTTTCAAAATAAGAAGTTTATGTTCTATGATTTACGAGTTAGCAACTGAACCATAAGCCTATTTATTAAACCATCGCTATAAATCAATGATAATTCCGAAGTAAAAGTAATTCCTGCGTGAACGGGTATGGTGGATACGTATTTTACTGACGTAAATGTGATTACCACAGTTTGACTCCACTGTTCGGCACTGTTACAGTGAGGAAATATAATTAAATATACACCTTTGTGGTTAATGTTTAATAAATACAAATGATAAAATCTTTAAATAGCCCTGTCGTTGTAACAGATCAACCAAAACCGAAAACTTTATTTTTTAGTTAACTTTATTTATATTTTTTAGTTCAATAAAAATAACTATCTACTATAATAAAAAATAGGGGTTGATCGTAGAGGGGTGCATATTAGGGGTTGTATATATTTTTTATGTTGTATCACAAGTTTTTTGGGGTGGACACCGCTTCACACTTAGGGGTTTGAAAGATAGATAGTAGCCGATTCTCAGACTTACTGAATATGCATTAAAAAATCCATAAGAATCAGTTGAGCCGTTTCGGAGGAGTATAGGAACGAACATTGTGACACGGGAATTTTATATATAAGACAAATTTATTTAATAACCATTGCTAGTTTCTAATATCATATCGCTAGTGAAGGCTAGTTGCCTATAAAAGTCCATAATTAAATCGAAACTTATACAAGCTTATGTTACGTACTGAAAACTTTCCTCATAAAAGAGTATAAATTTATGCCACTCTTTTAGTTGGCCTAATTTCTCAACTGTGATTGAGTACACTGTAGTACAGGTATCGCGGAAATTGCTTCAAAGTTTTCGTCCATTATTCATCGGCCTCACGTAGACTTTAGTAATTTAAAATTTTGGTTGCATTTCGGATAATGATTGGTTATCGAATATTGAGGTTCTTTATGTCCAAAATATTAACTGAAGAACTGAACTGCAATTCTTTACTGACCAAATTATCAAAACCATAATTTGGTCAGTTACCAACCAATTACCGAATTATTTGAATTATACTACGCAATAGATGTACATTTGTGAATAGTGTGAGCGACTCTCAACTCTGAAGGCTTCCGTTCGAACCCGCATGGCTGGTGATGATATAAACAGATAAGGAAGTGCAGAACAACACTTAAATTGTAAAAGATTTTACATCTTAAAATATGTTTTATGCTAGTATTGATATACACAAAACTTACCTGTGTTATACTCCAGTAGCGGTCCAGTGATATGAGGCACAAATTCATAATAGACGCGGTGCACAACAACACATCCATCGCGGAATGTATCTCGCACCACCAAAACCCAAAAATCCAGTAACCCATAAGCTCATTCGCGAGCGAAAATGGCATTATCACTAAACCAAGAAAGAAGTCCGACACAGCCAGTGACGCTATGAACCAGTTTTGTATATTCTTCAGCGCCTTTTCAGTCACTATTGCAATAATCACCAACATATTCCCTACTACCACCATAATCATAAGAACCGTTACGACCACCGACGCGATTATTATATGCGCCGGTGAATATCCACTCGGATACCAAGTCTTTAGCACAAAATGTGTGTCATTTAACGTCGAATTCAGATCCGAACCGTTTTGCAACGCAAAGAACTCCTCTTGGCTCAAGTAACTTGGTATTAAATGTGTTGAGTTCGTTTCATTCCAACTCATCGTTCTACCAAACGTTATATTTGGTAGCATTTTGATTCTAGCTACGCGATTTTGGCCCCGTTTTGCCTAGGAACGGAATGGTGTCCGAAATATTTACACTTATTTACAATTTAACCTAATATTGCTTTAGAATTTAAAATAATTGCAACACAATTTACGAAGCGATAAATCGAGAGGAATCGATTTATTTTATCGAATCGAAAAATCGATAACGCGGCATCATCGTGAGTTCCTAAACTTTCTCCGATCCCAGAATCGATCCGTTTTCGCGAACATTTTTGTTTACTTTTGATCACATTTTTAATTTCTAGTCATTTTCGTGTCGCCACGACCGCAACTGGTCGGTTAATGCATTGTCATGTACTCGTGTTTCCGGTGGGGAAAAGCGGTTATGTTCTTGATTGATGGTTTAAATTATTACCTGCAATAAGAAAAAATATATTAGTAACGTATTGTACATAATCACATAATACTAGTACAAACGAATCATAATAATTAAATGTTTTTTGATTTGTTTTATTGAAATTCACGTGGTCAGAGTCAAAGTTAACCTAATTTATATTCTTGTATTTAAGCGACTCCACTTCCGTTCTTTGTAATTAAAGATTTAAAAATGTAAATTCGGATACTGAGAACTAGTAAAAGCCATCCAGTTCATAATAAATTAACGTGCATAATTCATATAGTACGCATTCAAACCCAAGTTTACATTTATAATATTAAGTAGGGCTTTAAATTATAAATTTAATCCGACAACTTTAATATAACATCAAATAAAATTTAAATGCGTTAAAAACGGCTGCGTACATCTAGAATACATTTATAAGGCAACGTTATTCTCATTCCCCTCACATATAGCTTTCGGTAATGGATCAAAAATTATAATAAGAGAAACACTTTATGAAAGAATTTTCTTCGTCACGTCAAACAATCGTCGAGAAGTAAATACTGTTGCTCGTTTTTAGATCCCCTTTTAATAATTACAGATACAGATCAAAAATTACAAAAGATTCAGAAACAGCGTATCAAATAGACTTTTAATCAACGCCGGCTTGATAAAGAATCATTCCTTAATATACTCCAGTGATTTTAAGTCGTGATTAAAGACTAAATATTACATCTTATTCTTTTGTTTTCCACTTTTGATATTAAAAACTATAAGTCTAATTTGCAGCATCTTTTCTCTATGTTCTACGTTTCGTTTGGTGTTCGTATCGTAAGCAAAACTAAACGATTGTGCGCTCCGTTCATTGGTCATCATCATTACTAGTTCAATACCACGCGTATTGAACTAGAAATGCGACATGCAACCTGGGGGCTTAGTCAAGATGCCTTAACAGTAGTGTATGTAGAAAGTCGAAAACTAAATTTTTATGAAAATTTAGCGACAAGAAATGTCATTTTTAAACCCCATGGTGTTACGTCCGTTAGCCCAATCACAAATGAACGCATACTCTCCGTTTATATCATCACACATAATGATTTTAAGAAATTCCGGTTCAAGCGCAGTGTTTCTGCATCCTCTTACTTGTTTATCATGGGCAGGGGGAAGAGGTATGAAGAATGGTTCGGACTAATATCTGCGGCTGAATTCCACCATCGGACGTCGAGGCAGAGTATAAAATTCTACCTTTCCATCTCGACTGTATTGTGAAATGCCAGGTATTTCACAATACAGCAATTTTAAGGCACTGCCGCGCACCACGTCTTTTTTTAACCAGCTCCCAGGGTTTGCCTAGTGGCTTCATCGTTCAACTCTCATCCCTGATGTCGTAGGTTCGAACCCCGGATGTGCACCAATGGACTTCCCGTCTCTGTGGATGTTTAACACACGCTCGTTTGCCATAGCCCCAAAAAGTTCAGCGTGTGTCGGACACAAAAGACTGAAAAAACAACTGATCACGAAACAGACACAGAAATTTGAGAAGTAATTTTGAAAAAAATTTAATTAAATAGGTTATTTGTGTCTTGTGTATTACGAAGTTCTTAGGTAGCGATTTTTCATAGAATATATTTGTTTTACGATAGCCATTCGCACGATGTAAGATGAGTTTCTAAAGCACAAATAGCTTCTCACATTTTCTACACCAAAATCTATAATAACTATTATATATACAGGTTGGTCAAAAAGTCGTGGATCAAACGCAAATAGGGGATAGATGAGGTCATCAGCTGCAAAAAATTGTTCTACGGGAGGTCTCTAAGCTCAACCCCTGCAGAGTTATAATTTATTTTGCGTTTTATAAGAAAATTGACTTTTTTTACTAATTCTTATTAAAATTCGAAAAAATCTATAATCATTTTCATAATATCCACTAGATTGGTACTCATGAGTTCTTGCGTTAGACATACTATTCATAGTTATTTATTGAGTGTATTGAAGATAATATTAAGTTATATACGATATAATTCTTTTTTCAAATCAAAACTTTTTGTTTACTTCGGACCCCACTGTGAAAAAAAATTACTCTACCGAAAAGTGACCCTGTTAAATTACATTACACTTAAATTACCTCCCGTAGAACAATTTTTTGCAGCTGATGACCTCATCTATCCCCTATTTGCGTTTGATCCACGACTTTTTGACCATCCTGTATATTTAGCCATACATTATGGCCACTTATAAAACAACCAATACAAGTAATCACGAACGAAATCTATTTATATACAACGAACCAAGAAAAATACGGTGCTAAAATAAAATAAAATTTACGTGATAAGATTATTTTATATCACTTATCAATGGGCAATGTTACACGTATTCCAATAAACATTTTTATTCAAACATTATATTTTGTTACTGTCGTTATTCTCTGAATTTATGTTTGACAGCGGTCGTATTGTTTTGTCTGTTTTGTTTCAGACCTTATTAATTTTACATAACAATATTTTTTTTTATTAACGCGAGTACCATAAGAAATTACCGGCGTTTTTTTATTATGGCGTACTCATGGTGTATAATCTTAGGTCTACTGCTACTGGGAATTATAAGAAAATAGTTTGCGTTTCTTGAGATATCCTTGTCTAGCCGCAGTTCATTTCTTTACTTTATTTCATTTACATTTAATATGAACAACAATAGAATTAAAAAATTAAGTTAAAAATCACTTAAAACATTGTGTAATGAATATAGGGAGTTGTTCGAAATAGGCTTAAGGCTTGACTCACAACATATTATACATGCATTTAAATCTTAATGATATTGGAATTTTACAGTATATAGCTAGCTGTATTCCAATTTTAAATATTTTAAAGTATACATACATTTTTCATTATAATTTGTTTATAAAAATATGTCAATAAAAAAAACCTAACTCTAGTAAAGAAATACTTTATCGTATAATGTTTTAATAAAATAATTCTAGGAGATATAGTTTTAGTATGAAAGTTTTTCTAAGCCTTTATGAAGTGCGTGTTTCTAGAGTCGTATATTTTCAATTTCATTCAAATGATGCTCAAGTATGTTACAGTTAAACGAGAAAATAGCAACTCTAACTCCTATTTGATTAAAATACCAATTTGACGGGATTAAAGTATCTATGAATACAAGGATTATATACTCCAATATCACATATACCCCTAAAGGATAATATTAAATATATTTAACATAATTTCTAAAATTACAGAGTCAAAACCTTTCGAGTTTGTGATAAATTAAATAACAAGATCATTAACGTTGTCAATGTCACTTCATATTACAGAATAATATAGGAATAATGCATGTTGATCCTAATTATGCAACAGAATAATTAAACAATAAAATATCCCACTAATACTCAGAAATAATGTAGAATTTTTGTGGAGTAAGAATTATAATAAAATAAGTCTATATTTTGTTCTTTTGCATCCTCAACAGTCAGAGTAAGTCAAGTTACGTAATGCCCTTTTATGCTTAGCAGTAACATACTTTTTGAGAATCTTAATTATTCTCTCATATTCATGAAACGAGCCGTCAGCTGTCACGCAGCCTTGACACGGCACTTGAAAAGAAATAAAAGGATTTTCAGTTGCTCGAAAAGCTTCTAATTAAATAACTGCGCATTCACTCGCTGCATAGTGAACATGAGTTGGGTGACGGATTCACATATCGGTGATAATTCTGATATTATTAAATTCTAACATCCGTGTTTCGCTTGGTTGACTGACCAAGTTTTTTATGTCTACCCACATTTTTGGTGCTGTTCTGTTTTCTTATTTTATATATATACCTACATCTGTGCGCTCTAATATTTAATCTTAGTTTTAAATATGTTTTTCTCACTAAGTGAATTTTCAATTCTTATGAGAAATAAAGTTATCCTTAAACCTAAAACCTAAACCTATTTTTGAATGTGAGTATTTAACTCTAACATTGGTATAGTCTAAGATAAATATTAGAACTTTTGTTTTACAAAGTACTTTTTAATATATTAAATAAAAACTTTTCAAACGCGTCTTTTTAATATTAACAAAACCTTTTTTATATCAAGAGTTAAGTAATAACTACCGCCCATGGACACCCACAGAAGGATAGACGGGTGCATGCTGGGTTTTTTTAAGAATTGTCTTTGAGCTGGTTCCATACAGCAGTGAGCATAGTAAAATGCTTAATGGTGCAACCATGGAGTTCCGATTGTGCGTTAACGTCCGAAGACGAAACACAGTTGCAGGTTTCTGGACATTAGAAGTGTATGTCAGCAAACGTTTCTACGCAAGATGACCACATAACGCTGGCTAGGCGTTTAGACCGAAAACTATTTTTTTATTATTTAAATGACGCGTGATTGTTTTTATCACTATGCACAGTGCACGATCATAACAACTTTCAGCTACATTCTCAAATACATGCGCATACTCACCTATTCACACACTCACTTATTCACTTCATTTGTAACACGAAATTTATAACTATTATAAGTATTTTTTCTTTTTTATTATCATCTTTTTTTTTTTTTTAACTAATTTTAACATGTACCACGAAATAATTGTTTTCTAGTTACCCACAACACAGGGCCTCCCTAGTGTGGGGACTAGCGATTTATGATTTCTGT